TAATTCGTCTTTAAAATTTTATTCGTTTATTCGAAATTTTTCGCCCGTCGAACAATCCTCATTTTCTCTTAACTATTATTGCATCATGCCCAACGAGCATACAGCTCAATCGTTCTACTTTAATATTTAACATTCTTCATGGACCGGTCCTGCCGAAAACATTCGCGTCACTAAAAAGTATCATTCTCGTCTCCTCTTTCTTTCGTTTTTTTGTACACAAAAGAGCAATCGGATCGGATATCATAAAACGACTCGCTGCATTTTTTCCTAGGTCTTCGAGGAAAAAAAAGAAAAAAAAACACACACACACACACACACACACACTAGAGCCAAGTCCCGACAGTCACAATATTGACTCTGTCGAAATGCATGTCCCACCTGTTAGCCCCTCGACTTGGCCAGCTTTTTTTCTAAGTGTTAGATGGTTATTGATGTTTGAATTGAAATTCATTAAAATTCCTAAAATCTCACAGAATTTAGACTAATGCTGGACATGAATTCTAAGGTGGGGAAAGGTATGCATTATTCTTTATATTTATGTGTAAAAAATTAAATATTAGAGCGCAAATATTTTGACGAGTTAATTAAATTTCCTTTTTCTTTAAAGACAACATTATGGGAAATGGATCCGCAGAGTCAAAATATACTTAGAGTTTATTGGAATTTTATCGGTTTCAATCTCAGCTTATTAGCGTTGGTGTGATTATGATTCGCCAATCACTTTTTCATGGTCATGAATAGGCATGCATCTGCGATTTTCGTTAGTATGAGATGACAATAAGATTCTCTCAAGACGCTTCGGCGTCATCTTCATTTCCGAAATATTTGAGATCGCTTTCAGGATCGCCCGAAAGCATTCTTATCCCAATATTTTTAATTCGAAAAATTTTTACGATAGCATGTAGTGTCGATCAAAATTCTGATTCATTCACGATTCAACGATAAAATATCGGGAAATTAAATGTTAAAAAACTTTTATTTTACAGAAATTTCATTACACAATTCACAAATGTCATAAATAAAATTTTTATCATATCTTTGGATAACAAATCATGTGAATATCATGATATAAATCATCTTTTCATTTGTAAAATTTTTATCAAATAAAACCATGTCTTTTATTTTTATACTTTTCGTTATATTATGCAGACTTTCGGTCGACACTATGTGATCTCCTAAAGCATATTTTGATTAATTTACGAAGCGTTATTAGTAAATTATTAACGCTAATAAACAAACATGTTAAAAAAACTTCGTTGTGACTTAAATAAAAAATAATTGATAGTAAGATCTCTTCGCGCACGCGCGAAAAACTGTTAGTGATGAAGAAATATCGCAAAAGTTGAACGAAAAAATATCGCACGAGATTACTTTGCTAGGCGAACTTGTACAAAAAAGATTTTTGATATCGATGAGAAATAGCGTATCGTATTACTCCGTAGTAATTCTTTAGAAAAGACGAAATAAATTTTGGTAAAATTTTCCTACATACCAGAGAAAGAACGCGCGCGTGGTAAAAATTTTTAATGAAGAAAATATATCACGCATTCTACTACCATGAATATTACGACATATAAGGCGAAGCACACGTAACAACGTGCGCGTAAATTTAAAAAAGATATACGAAGCTCGATCGCGTTTTCGCAATTTAGAATAAAAGTTATTAGGCGCATAATCGACGCGTCTATCAAAAATATTAAGAACCAATTTACATTTACATTTTCGAGACGGTCGTATTCCGAATCGCAACTATCACCCGATCTATCTCCGGAAGTACAATTCGATGTTGTTCATCGATCAAACGGATCTTTTTTGATCTTGCGCTTTAATCCAGCGACTCGACTCAATCGATCGACTCTTCGAATCCCGTGGGATCAGGATCGCACTTGTGTGTGGCTGCTTGACACGTTTGCGCGAATCTCCTCGAAGAAACTCGCAATCGACGAGGCTCGCGCAAATGTATGATTAATATATATAATATGACACTGTATATATATAATATGTCTATATATACGCGTACGTATATATTATAAATAATCAATTAAAGATTTGCTTTGAAAGTAAGTAAAAATATATATAGATATATACTCGTATATATATATATATTTTTTTCGTTTTCTTCTCTTTTCTCTTTGTCTCATATCTGCACCATATATTGTATGTATGTATGTATGTATGTATGTATGTATGAATTTATATGTTGTACCATGCACGCATCTGTATAAATATGATCTTTTCCCACTGGGAGAAAGTAACAACGAGTGCGACTCATGATAGATTTCGAGACAAATGATGATACATTATTTTTTTTTATTTAATTCAAGTTTTTTTTTTTTGTTTTATATGCCATAAGAAATACGTATGCTCGCAAAATATTATTATAAATTAAGGAAAAATTTAATAGATTAAAAAAAGAATTAATAAAGTTATTCAGTTTAAAACTTTGAAAGCAATAAATATAAAAATAGGAAATTATTTTGTTATCTTAATGAAAATTTTAACAATTTATAGAATTTAAAACACTCATTTCCGTAAAAATTTTAAACTGAAAAATGCATATTTGAGATTATATAATATTAAACTTTATATATAAATATATGGTTGCATTTTAATTTTTTTCTATAAGATTTATACAAACGGAGCAATTATTTTTTTCATTATGCTCATTTTTCACATTAAGAATTTCGTGAAACTATACAAATTTATAATACACTAATATAACACATAAAATATTCATATATTACATCTGATTGTTTATTATTTAATATTATTTGTATTATTATTAATTATAATTATTTTTTATTATAACATAATAGCGCGGATGTTGCATTGAATCGCATCACCAAAGATTATATCGCGAGTCGTACTCGTCGGTCATAATATTTTTTATATAACTTGCCCCTAATGCTATATATATATAAGTTGCCCATCGTCGAATCGTTTTCTCTGCACTTTTGCACTAGAAGATTAATTATTTTCGTTAGAAAGACCATAAAGAACTGTCTCAACTCGCTCCATAAAAGGACTCGATAAGTTTCTCACTTTTCTCACTACTGTCTTACTATTGTCCATCAAGGCTTCATCACTGAGAGAGACATCCATTTGCCTTACAGCAAAAATTAAGATAATTCTTTATAAAAATTAACACAGCACGGATTATTTTGATCTTGATATATGTTGTAAAGGATCTTGGGTAACAATAACTTCCTGGAGTAACATGCATGATTGATATATAGAATAATCGAAGAAATAGGAGACAATAAATAAATAAATAAATTTCAGTTCGAAAGCCAAAAACATTGAATCGATAACGTGTTAGATGAAGGGAACTATAAGAGAGTGCCATCTAATTCCAAGCGCATGTTATTCAGGAATGAAACCTCTACAGTATATGTCAAAATCAAAGTGATTTCTGCGTAAGTTTTTATAGAGATTTATCAAAATTAATCCGATAATTATAAGACTCGAACTCTAAAAAATCGAGCACGATGGCGAACCCGTTTTTTAGAACAAAACAAATTAACGTCATCGCTATCCTACTCTTTAGAAAGCGCAACTATACGAAACAATATAAAATAACAAAAAGTGAACAAGGCTTCCAAGAGAAGAACGGCACGACGAGGAAACGCGAAAACATTAAAGAAGATGAAAGAAAACGAACGGACGACGACGGACGACGAATTAGACAATCACGCAATACAAGCCAGGCTGCTTGCTTCTCCCGCTCCTCTCCTCCTATATTTCGTTTGTATAAAAAGTCTTAAACACTACTCCTAAGCCTACGTAATCCGAAGCATTCGAAATGAGCAACGAGCCTTTCGTTCACCGCTTTTTCCTATGCAACTTCCGATTGCGATTTCATCTTTTTTTATTTATTCATTTTGCATGGCTTTTGCCGTTCGACGTTTTCTTTAGGTTGGAAAAAAAGACATCTCATCGATCTTTCTCGCTCACTCGCATAATGCGTAAAATATAATAATTATTGCAGAAAGAACAAGTATATAAAACATGTATTCATACACAAACACACACACATATATATACATATATAATAATATA